ATTCCAATGTAAAGCGCATTGAGCTACTTTTTTGAAAATGCGCTATATAAATGTTATATATTATTATTTAATATTATCACGTGACTTCTCGTCCGTGTAATGTCACCCGGAAATGTTGCTGAAATTTTAGTTGATGGGATTTACCCCCCCTCCCCACCCCAACCCTTTTCTGGTGGTCGTCCACTAAACATTAGTTTTTGTGCGTGTGTGACATAACCATCCGGTAGACCTAAATTTCAAATTCTTTTCAAATTGGCCCAAGTCATTCAGAATTGAAAAATGAAAAGAACCAAAATATGGCTCAAGTCAATTTTGCAAAATGGCCTAAATCAGAGACAACAGTCATGAAATGGCTCAAGTCATTTTGCAAAACGGTTTAAGCCAGAGGCCACAGTCATGAAATGGCCTATATGTCAGTCACATCCCATAGTTATGGTTTTTATTAGAAAATAACTATTAATACTAATGAGAGTCGGCAAATTAATGAACTTTTGAAATGTTGGGCTATCGATGTGCTTTTTTCACTTACTGATACGGGTTTTCCCCCATTATCTCCCAAGTGTAAAAAATGACTGAAGCCCAAAAGGTAACAGTTTGACGATACCTTCGTGAGAGACTGCCACAAGTCACTAAGCCAGGTGTGACAGGTCCGTGTCGCTCCCTCCCAGGTAGATCAGGTGATACAGGTAGGACTACCTTGAAATGGCTGGGTCGGTTTGTTAACTGACGTCATCTCGACATACTGGTGATGGAAAAAGAAAAAAAAGAGGGTGTAAAAAAAAGGGGGAGGGGGGGCAGTACAAGCAAAGATTCTCAACTATAGTGCGGGAACAAATTCGTGGCGCAACTTGTTGCCAACTATCTCCTCAACTATCAAACATAAACTCTCCAGCTTTTGCACAGTGACTTGTATCAATTTGTCTTAACAGATCAGTATTTTTGTAAACACATGTTAGCTCTATTTTAAAATATTCCTTTTAAAAGGTTTACAGCTTGGACGATATCGCTTTTAAAAGCAAGTCCGTCATTTTTTTCTAACCGCGAGATTATCTTTATTGAAAGCATGTTTTGAGAACTTTTAGTGCAAAAAAATGTTCACTATAAAATTAATTTCTTGTAACTAGTTTTGCCACTAAAAAGTGTCATTGGTGAGCTGTGACGTAAGCCATATGCGTATGCAAAATGTGTGGGAGAAGCAGGAAGTGCTGTGAACAATAAAATTCCATTTTCCGCGTGAAGGACATTTGTAGTATTTTATATCAATTTATGAAGAAAAGTTTGTTAATATAGCGTCAATTGTTGTGAAAAAATATCATTATTAAATTACGACAAATTGAGACAATCTGCTGTGTAAATTGTGGGTGGCATTGATTCACCAGTCAAAAAGATAATATACATTTGAGGACAAGTTTCGCCACGAATTTTTGACCGCACTATAAGCCAGGTGAGTGGTTCGTGTCGTTCCCTCTCAGGTAGATCAGATGAGACAGGTATGACTAGATCAAGATCTACCTTGCAATAGCTGGGTCGGTCTGTTAACTGACGTCATCGTCACGTCTTAGTGATGGGAAAAGAAAAAAATAATAAAAAA